TGAAGACTTTTTGCACCCCATATCAATTTTTCAAAGATGGGTCATTCCGTCATTGTTGCCCAGTAATCTGGAAGAGAACAATAGTGTCAAAGTAATCGATTATGATGAAAGAGAAGATTGGAGACAACCAATAATCGATTTCCTTCAACAACAAAAGTTACCAGATAATCCGCGACGAAAAACTGAAATCAAGAGGCGTGCATCTCGCTTTGTCTTTTATAAGGGAACACTTTATCGACGATCATTCAATGGAGTTTTCTTTTGATGCTTAAGTAATTATGAAGCAACATATGTCGTGAAGAAGCCCACTCTGAAATTTGTGGTGCTCATCAATCTGGGCCCAAACTCCATTTTCGAATAAAGAGGATGGGATACTACTGGCTAACTATGATACAAGACTACATGGATTATGTGAAAAAATGTGAAACTTGCAAAGTTCACAAAATTTCATGCACAAACATCTAGAACTATTACATCCGACAGTAGCTTCTTCGCCATCTGATGCATGGAGTCTTGATGTAATTAGTCTTATAACTCCAAAGTCTTCAGTTGAGCATTCGTACATCCTTGTCGGGACCGACTACTTCTCTAAGTGGGCTGAAGGCATACTATTGAAGGAAGTAAAGAAAGAAAATTTTGCGAATTTCATTTGTATCCAGATCATTTATTGATATGGGGTCCCACCACACATCATTACTGATAATGGAAAACCCTTCTGTAATAGCCACATAAACAATTTATGTACAAAGTTTGGATTCAAACAATACAACTCTTCCATGTACAATGCAGCAGCTAACATGTTAGAATAGACATTCATAAAACTCTGTGCAGTCTACTACAAAAGGTTGTTTCCAAATAAAAAAAGAGATTGGTACTAAAGAATCGATGAAGTCTCGTGGGCTTATCGAACTACTTATCAAACTCAAACACAAGCTACTCCTTACGCCTTAGTGTACGGAGTAAAAGTTGTACTTCATTTGGACTATCAAATCCCATTACTTTGAATTTTCGTCCAGAAGGTTTGACAATAGAAGAAAATGCTCATCTTTTATTGGAAGAGCTAGAAGTTTTGGATGAAAAGAAATTAGAGGGGCCAATGCACCGAAATGTTATCAAGATCGGATGGCAAAGTCCTTCAAGAAAAAGGTGTGACCAAGATCATTTCGAGTCGGAGATTTTCGGTACCTTCCATACGCAAGCAAATCATAATTACAAGAAAAACGGAGAGCAAGTTCCAACGTAAATGTAGTGCTTCTAGCCCTCAAGAGGATAAACTGTGAACGGTCTAAAATAAACAAAAAAATTTGTGTTCTTGTAATGAATTACGTTCGACTTGATCCTTTTTTGGTACGTAGGTAGTTTGAATAAATTATAAACTCAAGTTTAGTCACAACCAATAAATTCATTCAATTTTTTTTTCATTTTCTACAAAAAAAAAATACACAAGAAACACGAAGAAGAAAAGTTGATAAAAATGATAGCAAATCAAATTTCACACAATATGGTCCTAAAGATAATAAAAAAGTTCACTCTATCAAAATCACTCGCCATTAACCACTTGTAAGAAACTATCTTCAAGATTCATCCTTTTCAGGTCAATGGATGCTATGCCAGTGACATATCTAGTATACGATTCTTCTAATGTGGCCTTCGCAGTTCCCAGCATACTCTTTTATTCTTGATGGATTTGGAGTTCATCACAGAGTTTGTCCAACTCCGAAGTTAGCTGCTAATTTTATTTTTAAACAAAGAACACGTGGAATCCTCCACTTTCAACTGAATATTCAAAAGTTTCAACTGCGTAGCCTTTTCTTCAGCGGTTGGACACTCAATATGTTGTTTTATTTCAAATAAATAAAAGTCAACTTCTTTCAAAACACATCTATAAGTTTCATCAAAAGTGTTGGATCTATACGAAATGAGCTAATAATCACGTTTTGAAGAATTACATTATTTTCATCCCACCAAGATCGGATAATGGAAAATCCATGCTTCAAAACGTCTCTAAAACACTTATGAAGATAATTAGTCATGGCTTCTTGTAACCTTGAAGTAAGGAGGCTCTTGAGTTATCCCAGATGGGGGACTAGACATGAAAGAACAAATTGGTGCAACCCCATGATTGTTAAAAGGATGAATGTTAACTTAAGGCAAATGAAGATGGAACAATTGGGACCTCTTGATTGATCTCTGAAAAGTTAGCTCTCATAGTCTCATAATTTACTTTATTTTTATTATTGAGATCATCTGCATTACGTACTGAAATACCTTCATTAATGGTGCTCATGTATTTGCAAGGAGGGCTATGAAAATCACGAGTAACGTCTATTCTTTGAAGTGCATTGATTTTTCCATCATTCTCGCCAGTTCGATCTTACAAAAAGTTTTGATTCATGGAGAAATTCAGTCCTTCAAGAAAGCTAGGAAAACCTACCAATAAAAAAATGAAAGATGATTTGAAAAAATTATAGTTAAAGACAACCAAACGCGATACGTTTACATTGGGAGCAATATCCAACTTTCTTGGTGAACGGGGAAGTTTTTGTCTAAAGCCAAATTGTCTCGCAAACCTATGAGGATTATATGCCTCAAGAATGAAAGGAGAGTTCCCTCGACGGTAAGAGACGAATCCAGACCGAATACTCATCATGAATTCTGAAGTATCTATAGACCTTTGTTGATCGTCCACTCGTACGTGAGG